CTCCGATAGCCGTGTCGTACGAAAACACAAACTCGTGATCTTTGATCCGTTTGTTGCGCTCCTCGAGTGCCAGCAAATTGTCGATGTCTTTACTCAATCGACTCGCGTGTTCGCTGACCGGAAAGACCGCCGGTTTGACGGTATCGATGGTTATCACTCTCTCGACCAAATCCGGGTACAGGAGAGCAAAGTTGAGCGATGCGTTGGCGCCCATACTATGGCCTAAGAGCGTGAATTTGGTCCACTTTAGGTGATCAACAATACGTTTCATTTCGATGACCCAGGTCAGATCTGTATAACTAAAAACCATACATCAATTATCATTAAAAAAAACTAATATTTGGTAAACAATTGATAAACATTGCATACAAAGCGCCGGTCGGCAAATGAGATGAGAATCCATGGCCGGGGAGATCAACGCACAGGACATACATCGAGTCCAAGTCGAGTAGAGGTAGGAGTCGATCAAAAGTGCCCGCATTGTCCTCAATGTGTACAACAAATTAGTTAGTATTGAAACGACTCGAGAGTACAGTTATCTATCCATACCTGCCATCCGTGTATACAAAGAAGTCGTAAACTATCTTTGCTGTCATTTCCCCAAACTTTTACGGCTAAATGTCAGCAAAAATATGCAATTATTATACAGTTTTACCACTTATTAAAAAAAAGTTAGGGGTTTGGAAAGGAGGTGGGGGTCAACAGGTGTCCAAATAAGCATTAATTAACGTAAAGCCCATTTGTGAGTGAATAAAATGCAATAAATGAATGGTTAAAGAGTGGACACAAATGTATACCTATTTGTCCAAAAGTGGTCGCAATCCTCATCTCTTTATCGCTCATTATTTCCTCCTTTCAATCGTTTCTACGATTTTGTGAAATATAATTGAAATATAATTTATTGACACTATTTTCTCATCACTTATTGAATACACAAATGAATGCACTTCTCATCCATAAACTGGTAAAACAAGAAAATGCTTTAATAAACAAATTAAATGTAATTATTTATACAAATCATTAATTTTATTATTGAAATGCAAATAAAATTAACGACAAATTAAAAACATAATTATTATGTTATGTTTCAATACTTTTAACACATATGACATCATATAAACTCATGAGATATTCATATACAACGTTACGATTTAATATACTTTATAGGGGGACTATCATTACGGACACACAAATGCATTTGTGGGCAAAATATGAGTGCAAATAATGACTATATTTATGAATGAATTGGTTATGAGATGAGGAAAAGCGATAAATTGTGTGGCAATGAAGTGATGGGATGTCAGCTCTGATACCATTTGTCTCACATCTGCTATTCGTATGAATGGAGCGATCGATGGCATGAGTGGTGGCGATGAGAGACACTCTAATGGATGCTGTGATGTATAACACGAATAGAGTATAGCATTGTGTATGAAATCCATTCAAACCATTCCTTTATTGCATATAAATTGCATATAAAAGACTAATTTCATTGAAATTTGTCTCAAAAATATATATACTTTCGTTTATTCATTAATTTATTTTCGCAATTCATTTGAATTATAATTGAACAAATCTACAATATTATTATTATTACTATTGGTTAGAAAGTGATATAATGTTCAGAGTTTGTCATCAAAT